GTGAAAAAAATTAAAATGTGTGAAAAAAAGTTGTAAGAAAGCAAATATTAGAAAAAATGACAACAAAATGAACAAACTGAACACAAAGAGACAAAATACAACTGGCAAAGGATTTAAAATCTACAAAGACGAGGAAGACAACAAAATAACACAAAATGAACTCAGAATATAACCACAAACAGATACAAAGCAACCAAAAAGGTTTGAAGACGAAGACTTGCGAGAGGAACAAAACGAGACACAAAATGACCTCAAAGAGACAGAATTCAACCGCCAAAAAAATGTGAAGAGAGTATGACCAAAAGAGACGCAAAACGACTATGAAGAGACAAAATGAATACAAAGAGATCTCATGATGTACGTGTCAGGGCGCAGGGCCTCAAAATCCATCCATCCAGCAACGTTAGCATTTAGCTTTGTCCAAGTTGCTTTGTCCACAGCTCAGTACTAGCATGGGTTAAATGCAGAGGTCACATGTCACTATGTGTGTGTGTGTGTGTGTGTGTGTGTGTGTGTGTGTGTGTGTGTGTGTGTGTGTGTGTGTGTGTGTGTGTGTGTGTGTGTGTGTGTGTACAGGTTTCATGCAGTGCGTGTTGTGTGCTTATTTGTTTGTGTGTGTGTGTGTGTGTGTGTGTGTGTGTACCGCAGTTGTCCTCGTCGCTTTGGTCTTCACAGTCCAGGTGTCCATCGCAGCGTTTAGACGAGAGAACGCACCGACCGGAGCGACACTTGAAGTGACTCGGAGAACACTCTGTCACCACGGCAACAAAAAATAACAACAATAATAAACAAAGAGAAGAAAAATAATTTGGTCTTATTATTCTGATTATGTTACTGCTAAAGGACGAATATGATAAGAATAAGACACACAGAGAAACAAAACATTAAATATTTAAAAATGACTGAACCTAATGAAGCGAAAGCAAAAAAGGCAAAATTAAACAAACAAATAATAAAAAAAAGAAATTAATTATTTTTTAAAAAGGACAACAGAGAAACATATAAACAGACAAATAAAAAAAGATGAAGAGATAAATAAATAAACAAAGAAAATGATTAATCTAAAAATCAATCAGACAAAAGAATAAACATTTAAAAATCTAATAAAATACATATATATACTGAAAGATAAACAAAAGATAAAACATATAACATATCTAAAATATAATCAGTCCGCACCGTCCACTCCGTCCTCCGGCAGCAAACAGCTGACGTTTCCTCCTTCCTCAGGAAACTGAGAGCAGTCCGAGTCCTCCGGCCACTGCAGGCCCACGATGCCGAGCACAGACTCACATTTCTCCTTCGCACCGCGACACAGAGACCTGACGGGAAATGCAAGTATATTATAATAATGATATATAATAATATAACATAGACCCGAGAGACAAACCGGTGAGGAAACTCAGCATCAGGAAAGAAAGATTAGTAATAAATAACAATATCTAAATCATATTTAAAAATATAAAAGACCAGCGAGAAGTCAGTACAGATTTAGTAAAATATAATAATATACAAAAGATAACATACAGCAAGGCGGTCATTACTAATTAAATAAAAACAGAACATTTAAAAATATATATAAACACAGCTAAATACATTCAAACTGAATACATAAACATATTTTAAAATGGAATCCATTAAAATTAAATATGTAAAAACTTCACCAATACAAATGAAATATATCCAGACTAAATAAATAAAAAATCTAAATAAATAAACACACACTGTGAGCCTCTGCAGGGTAACCGGGTCACATGGTGTTTAATGAAGTATAATTGGTTATTTAAAGCAGTTTACCTGCATGGTGGGACCCTCTGCAGAGTCACCGGGTCACACTTTGGCACCAGCAGCGTGCAGGCGTAGAACATGAGGAAGGGGTGACATCCGGTCTGAACCAGGGCGGGAAACAGAGACGACTCCCAGGAAACAGAGCTCTCCCTCTGGGAGAGGTGGCCCAGGAAGTTGGGGAAGATGGTTTGGTTGTACGGGAGGTTCATGCAAAGCTCCAGGGAAATGGCCTCGCATCGCGCTGAGGGGGAAACAGGAAGATTAGGATGAATTATAAGGAATATGTGCACACCATGTGATGAATTTATAGACAGGTCATCACATCTTTGGGAACATTAAACTACTTAAAGCATAACATAGCACACAAAAAATGTCTCTGGTATTGTAATAGTTTATTAATAACACATTGTGAATACCTGATATTACACGTGTAATGTATACAAAAAAAAGATATTGGTGTATATGTGTCGTAGTGGGGAGCATGTGTTTTTTACATCAAAGTGCAGTTATTGCAGAAAATCCAAGAACAAATACCTAAACATTTGTATTTTCAATTCACTAAAAGCTATCATTAATAATATATAGAATGTAAAAGCAGTTAAATACAAACAAATTGAATGATCCTGTTTGGGTGCCATAGTGGGGACCCTTGTTTTTTTTTAAATCAAAGTGAGGACCTACTGCAGTTATTGCAGAAAATCCAAGAACAAATACCTAAACATTTGTATTTTCAATTCACTAAAAGCTATCATTAATAATATATAGAATGTAAAAGTAGTTAAACACAAACAAATTGAATAATCCTGTTTAGGTGCCATAGTGGGGACCCTTGTTTTTTTAAATCAAAGTGAGGACCTACTGCAGTTACTGTTGTTGTTGTTGTTCCGAGGGTCGCAGGAGGAAGTGGAAATACAGCTGGGCTGACCGGGAGGACACACACCCTGATCTGGAAAACACACAGAACCAATCAGAACCACAGAAGAAGGCGACAGGTGAGACAGGTGTTCAGACAGACAGGTGTCTCACTCTCTTTGCTGCAGTGCTCTTCGTCGCTGCCGTCCTTACAGTCGTCTTCGCCGTCACATCGAAACGCCGACGGGATGCAAGCTCCGTTCCTACACTCCATCAGACCCTGACTCTTACACGCTACACACACACACACACACACACACACACACACACACACACACACACACACACACACACACACACACACACACACACACACACACACACACACACACACACACACATAATGGGTATGTTTGTTCTAAAACACGAGTATTCATTAGTTGGTGTTTTCAAAAGACGACACACAAAGGAAGAGCGAAGCTAACGAGTTCAACTCAACAAAGAAAGTCAATTTAACAAAAAACAAACATGAATCAAATGATCATTTTGTCCGGGGGTATTTTTGACGGAGCGTCACTCAGAAAGCTGAACTGACTGCAGGAACAACAGCCTGCTCGGCTTTATTCTGTTGTTGCTCCCAAAGGCAGTGAATCATCAGTGACTCAGAACGTTTCTCTCAGAGGAGGAAACTCTGTCAGATGTATTATCTTCATATTTGATGAAGATTGACAAATCCAAACGAGCTGGAGCGGCTTTTAAGCACCAGATGTTCTGTTCAGCTCCACTTCATCGTTTCCATCCTAGTTTCTCCACATGCTCCTTTAACTTGTACTTCCATCATTTTGATTAATAAGATGTTATCTGAAGTTTGAAATGCATTCCTCTCACAAAAGGCAGTAAATAATCGAGATGTGGCTTCCCTATAAAACAACGTGTGTTTCAGTTAAATATATTTACATGTCCAGCGTCTTGATAACGGCGCCTTATATATTTTAAATATTTCTGATGATACGTTTTTACTTTCACTCACAGCAGTTGACCTCGTCGCTCTTGTCCAGACAGTCGTGGTCTCCGTCACAGAGCCAGTCTCTGGACACACAGCGTCCGTCACCACAGCGGTGCTCCAGAGACAGGTTACACACTGAACACACACACACACACACACACACACACACACACACACACAC